GTCTCCCCTGAGCCTCCTCTTCTCCAGGCTGAACAGCCCCAGCTCCCTCAGCCTCTCCTCACAGCACTTGTGCTCCAGTCCCTTCCCCAGCCTCGTTGCTCTCCTCTGGACCTGCTCCAGCCCCTCAATGTCCTTCCTGAGCTCAGGGCCCAGAACTGGACACAGCACTCCAGGGGTGGCCTCACCAGTGCTGAGTCCAGCCCAACAATCACTGCCCTGCTCCTGCTGCCACACTGCTCCTGAGCCAGGCCAGGATCCATTGGCCCTCTTGGCCACCTGGGCACACTCTGGCTCCTGTTCAGCTTCCTGTCCATCCCCATCCCAGCTCCCTTTCTGCCTGGCTGCTCTCCAGACACTCTGGCCCCAGCCCAGGGGGCTGACGGGGCTTCTTGTGGCCAAAGGGCAGGACCCGGCCCTTGGCCTGCTGGAACCTCATCCCTTTGGAATCAGCCCATGGATCCAGCTTGGCCAGGTCCCTCTGCAGAGCCCTCCTGCCCTCCAGCACATCAACACACCCCCAGCTTGGTGTCATCTGCAAATTTGCTGATGGTTCACTCAATCCCCTCATCCAGATCACCAATAAAGACACTGAACAGGACTGGGCCCACACTGATCCCTGGGGACACCCCCAGTGATGGGATCCCCACGGGATGCAGCTCCATCCCCACCACACTCCGGGATGACACAGCTCCATTAAACCCCACACAGAGCTCCAAGCCCTCGGGCACCCCATGCCCCCCGTGCCCCCCGAGCCCCCTCCCCGCTCACCTTGCGCAGCAGGAGCCCGTGGGAGATGTTCTCGGACACCATGAACCCCGACACCAGGTGGTGGACGGGCCCGGCCTCGCCGCAGTGCGGCCGCAGCACGAACGTGTGGAAGCCCCTCTTCCTGAGACAGGGGGAGCGTCAGCAGCACCCCAAAACAGCAGGAGGAATGCAGGGACCCCAAAACAGCGGGGGGAATGGAGGGACCCCCAAAACAGCGGGGGGAATGGAGGGACCCCCAAAACAGCGGGGGGAA